GGGGTCGTATCAAGGTCCTCTAGCCGAATCGAATACTATAGAATCGCCCCCTATGTGACGATGGCAGGCGGGGTGGTGGAGGATGGTGTGAGAGGGTTAACCAGTGAGGGGGGTCGTATCAAGGCCCCTAACTAGAAGGGGGACGTAAAATTTTTGAAATTGAGTCCAAACGGGACGGTTGACTCTGCTGCAAGGCTTGTCCCTCCGCTGGCGCGGTTTAGAAGCAACGTGAGGAGAAATAGTTAAGTGTTCTGGGACTAAGACGTTGGGAGCAGACGAATAGAGTCGAATAGCTCCCAACTAAGATAGCACCCTCCTGTGTATCAACATCCATTTATTTATTAGATCGGTCCTCGGAATTAGGATGTTCTGGAATTGATCACTTCCAGAGAGATGGTTTTTTCGAATGATTCCTTTCGATGGCAGTATGATGCTACGTACAGGACAGCACGAGCTACGCTAGCTTACCTTAGTAAAAACCCCTAGTAGTTTTTCAGTATTCAGAATTGACGAGATAAAATTAGCGCCCATTTTGAAATGTTCTATGTCACATGTTTGAAAATGTTTATGTCACATGTTTTGCGACAACACGATCCTTAAACCTAAATGTGACTCGGATTCTGGAGAGCTTCTGAGCAGGTAACTGCATTTCCAGACATGAGTTAAGGCATGCGAATTTCTTGGAGGATCCTTGAAGTCCTGACTACCTGATGACCTAGTCATCTTGTAATTCAATACCATCACCTACCTCCTGCTCATTGGTGGACATCTTGGAGTAGAATCAATGGACGCAATAAACCTCACTCGGCGTATCCATTTATATATCAGGGTATCGCTAGCTGTCAACAATGGCCAAACCAATACTTAGCTATTGAAGCGATTACTGAGCGGGTGTTTGTTATCTTCAATCATCGACTACTGGTTTTCACAGATAAATCCTAGAGTGTAAAAATGTGCAGTGACAATAACACCGAGGCGATCATCCCAAAGCTCTTCACAGCCATGTGTCTATATGCTGCGCTTCTGATTGGAATGATTCCGAGAATTTCTGCCACCGGTGAAAATTTAGCGAGTTGACTCGTCCCTGACACTTTCACGCTTAAACTGATAAATAATGCAGCTGGAGAAGGTCTCAGGGGTAGCGAAAATACGGCGCATCATGGAATTGAGATGGTGGCCGAACTTTTGCTAATGCGAACCACATACAAATTGCTTGCTGAACGCCCGCGTCATTTACAACTAGAGGGATTGTGACCTTCAGAACTTCAGTTCCTCACTTACTCCTTTTCCTAATAAGACAAGAAAAATTAATATATTTATTTCCATATTTAGATGTCAATTTTCAGATGATTAATAGATTCAAATGTAAACACAGGCACAGTGCATTTGGCATCGAAAAAGCTATGCTTTACAACTCCATCAACATTGTGTTTCAACATAACGACAGTTTTGGCTTAGGTTAGACATTATTGTACGTTAACGAACACAGCTTTTGCAATATATAACTTGCTCGTCACTGAGAAAGAGCATAGAAAGAATTCTGAGAAGATTTTTTAATTTTAGCAAAATAGCAGGAAGGAATAGTAATGAAGTTGCACTATAGAAGACTAATGGCCAGACGTTATCAAAGGAGTGGTAAAAGAAGAATAAACTCAAGTTGAAGGAATCGTCCAGTCGAATTCTCTATTCTTTTTAAACTACGTAATTTGTTAGAATAGGATCTCATTCTATCTTACGCTCACCGTTATGTCCCCAACATGCACCCGACGGTGTGGGCAAACCTTCAATGCCGAAAACTCGGCGGCTGCGAATCGAAGAAGTTAGTATGCCATTTTCAAGATCCGACTGTTCATTTTCCCCTTGCAAGGCGATGTTCGACCCGCACAAATATGGTGCGGGAGAGTGGACAAGCGAATAAGCAGAACTGAGTGGCGCACCTTTCAAGTACTAATTTCGTGACGTGAGATTCGAACGCTTCTACCGACAAGCGCTGCATATTCTGTATTGGCGACACTGCGGTTTTTGAGTAAACCTCGGCAAGAGCAATTCAAATAACATTCCAAGCGAATCCGATCAGCAACAGAACAGAACCCTTACCTACCATGAGTCACCTTTTGGCTCCCACTGGAGCGGCAGACGGCCAATAGCCGCGTTGTATGTGATTGATAAGCTAAACCTAGATATTGCTTCCGGTGACGACATATGTTGAACTCTTCCTGTGAGGGCGCAGAAGCAGAGACGTGCATGCGCTGATCGTTGACGCTCTATCAGAGTCACACAGTGCTGTTGTGCTTTCTGACTCGAACTATTGTCACGGTTAGCCGTTTGACATCAGTTTTTTGCCGAGTATAGCGACGGGTCTCGCTTCTAGCGCGCTGCCCTGCGCAGATTCGTTGTCAAGCAGGTTGAACGGATCTCGCTATATCAATGTGAGTATTAACAGCAGTGGCCGTCTCACAACAAGGGAAGGATACCAGGTCGAAGTGGCCATTTGTAACGAGACATACACCACTAGATGTGTTTTTGGACGCTGATCTCGAATCTGCTCTCCAAATCTGCGAAACGATTCTCTGAACGTAGTTATGAAGCGAGATAGTGCAGTGGCAGCGGCCCAGCCGACGAGCAAGAGGTCGTGAGATCGACTTCTTGGCGAGTTTTCAGCTGCTTTTCTTGAAAACATTGTTCAAAGAACTCTTATGCACGCTAAATATCAACGACTGCCTATCCTATAAGAGGAAGGAGCTGGCAAAGAGCTTCGAACACTATGCGCGTCATTTGCCGTGTCCTGTCGGTCGTGTGTGCCCACATTTTCGACTTTAGGTTAAAACTTTGGATTTGGATCAAAAGTTGTCACAAGGGGTACTTTGATGCGCTGAACACGAAAATCACATCTATTTGGCAAGAAAGTGCATGACGCATGCGCTACGGGTGCCAGAGACGGTCATTTGCTGATGACGCACACAGTGTTCGAAGCACTTCGCTAGCTCTTTCCACTTGTATGATTGGCAATCGCTGATGGCTAAGTATGGATAAAAGTTCCTTCAAACAATGTTCCCAAGAAAAGCAAAAGTAAGAACTCGAACTCGAGTCTTCTTGTTCGTCGGCCTAGGCCGCTGCCGCTGCACTATCTGGCTTCATAACTACGTTCAGAAAATCGTTTCGCAGATTTGGAGAGCAGATTCGAGATCAGCGTCAAAAACACATCTAGTGGATGTATGTCCCGTTACAAATGGCCACTTCGACCTGGTATCCTTCCCTGCAGAATGACAGCGCGGATCGGTACAAACATGCACAACACCGGATTTCAAAATTGGCTCTCGATGGTTTGCAGAGGACTTCAATGAGCTAATGTGATTGCTGCTACACGTATAGAGCAAGTTCATACAACTGCCAAGGCGAAACTTCGGGAACCGTCCACTATCTCCTACTTCTGGATCACTTCTTCTAGTCCCCTAAGAAATTCTAGAAAAGAACGAAAATTTCGATCGGACCTTTTCCCTCAACCTGTAAAAAAGCGGTCAGGCTGATCAACTATCGCAATCATGTTGATCAGTTGTCAGCGCTGGACAGCAATACTTTTTCCAGAAGTTTAAGAATTCTATGGTGCAGATCCACATTTGTTTTGACATTTGAGCCTGAAGTACACGCACTAATGTACAATCAGTAATGATTCTGGAACAACTTACTGTGGTGTCAAATAAGTAATGCAACTTCTTTGTGATCTAATTTACTGCCGCAGTTATCGCGCAGATTTTGGCAAGAAACAAAATTTCTGATCCTCCATTGTAGGCTTCCTTCAGGCAAACCGATATTAAATGGTGCTATGAGCGCTCGCACTGATTAGCTTAGCGGGGAACGACCTGACGTGGAAGGAAAGCAGAGAAGTCTTGGGAACGATGGAATAAGCCTTAGCTCAGTGGATTGGATGTGCTCGTGGTGGCGAGACAGGTTATCAGAGAAGACAAATGACAACGAGAGAGAGCCGCTGACCTACATCAATGGCCCTGATTCAAATCTCTTCGCGGGTGTGTGGAAAGCAGTTTAAAACGAGGTCGATGGTTGCGAGCGATCGAGGATTAGACACCCTAATTGCGCAATTTGGCGATAAAGACTGGATTGCATCCAGTTACGTTACGGACCTTTACAATTTCCCAAGCGTATACCTCCTACTGTATCGAAGGGCGGATTGGTGTATGGCCAAGATGGCACCACACGGTCCGGGGATCAAATCCTGGGTCGTGAGTCGCCCGGGCCAACCAAGCCTTCCATCCCTCCGGGGTCGGTTAATTGGTACCAGACTTGTCTGGGAGGATAAAAACACTGACTTGTACATCGGCTGGCCCCCGCAAGTCATTGTATAGGCCACATCGCATTCAAACGCCACTACGAATGTACAAATGGAAGTAGAATGCGTGCCGCATCCCAAAGGGATTGATCAACGGTAGTGCACTATTGAATCGGGTCGAATCAACGGCAAAAGCTTTATCCTTTATCCTTTATTTATCCTCCCCTAGTCGGGCTAGTCCCGGGGTTTGCCTTTAAATTAGCGGGGAAGCGCCAACTATACAAACCATACACTTACACACAAATACACTAAATTACATAACAAAGCCTCTCACACATGTACGCATCATATCATAGGCATCGCTTGAAATCGTATATGGAGTTCTTAAGGCGGTGAGTCAAGAGAAGCGGGCTTTTGGGCGTCAGCCGGTGTGGTGCTTTCACTACAACTTCTCTCACACATTCTTTCTGCATAGAATAAACTCAAACTTTCGATTTGGGAGCTGACTGCTTCATGTTCAAGACTTATTGTTAGTTCTCGCAGCTCGTACGAATGGATCAAACAAAAAAAAATACAAATTTGAGTTTTGGGTCGCGAACGATTTCGTTTTGCATATTCTTTTCCTTGCTCACCAATTCCTTCTTCATGGCAAGAACTCGTGCATATGGCGCGCCACTGCAACAGGATTACGTTCAGCAAGATTCGGCAAATGTACCTGATTACGATACATATGAAGAGTGGAAGCTAACGCATTGCAAACTTTTCGTAATTCCAACGGGCTCAAGTGATCGCCTCCAATGTCAGAGATGTTCCTTTTTCCCTCGAACGCCTAAAGCATTCGTTACCCTGCTGTTATTCAAATGCCTCTTCCACATATGATATGCTGATACGACAAATAATAGGTGCTTTATGAAGTTGAATTGAAATTGATTTGAAAATAACCCGCCTGAAGAACCATACGACGTAATAAGCACGGATCAACATCAGGCACTCTGACGCGATGCATTTGATGTGTGTTTTCCAAAAATTGCATGAACAGGTAATTGAAAAGCACTAAGTCATTGCTTCCTTCTCTCATATCAATTGGCACTAAAAGCAATAAAATGTACTCTTGGTCCAAATATAGTAACAATTCCTTTTCGTTATCCACTCTTGAAAATCAAAACAAAGTGGCCTTGCTAACCGTGAGGAAACGGTCCATTGGTTAGTGTCACATGATGATGGGATTTGTTTTAATTCTTCCAAGTCTTTGCTTTTGATAAACCTCTCCTCGAACTTGTCCTCTATGCCATTATCAACGTCGTCCTGCAGTATAGTACCAGATCTTAGCCAAAATTTCGTATACAGAGTGCAGCAGTCGTTATAGTGGACTCATTTGCTCGTGACAGTGACCACGAAGAAAATACCCTCTGTATACGCCGGCCGAAGCTGCTCTCCAGACTTCAGAACACAGGTGACAAAAGCTTCCACACAAATATGATAAGTAGTTGGTAGTGATAGCTGATAGCTGACAAATGAAATTTGTGATTGATGGGAACTGATAGAATACAATTGAAACAGGCTGAAAATTTGTTAGCGGGAAACGTTAACATTTTTGGAGAGGTGGTCCCCTGTGTTTGGGAGTCTGCAGTGGCATGCCACATACGCGGTGATAAAAGATGTGCGTAGGTGTACGAGGATTCAGATGCGGGCAAAGTTTCAAACGAAGTCACTTGACGAGCAGTCTGCAGGATGATTTTGGTACTAGAGAGCGAATAGTAACAAGGGAAGGATCCTATGTCGAAGCGGCCATGTGTAACGAAACTTCTACTAGATGTTTTTTGGACACGGATCTCGAATCTGCCCTCAAATCTGCGAAACGATTCTCTGAACGTAGTTGTGAAGCGAGCAGCGGCGCGGGCTTATGGGCAAGAGGCTGTGAGATTGACCTCTCGGCGAGTCCTCCCTCACATTTGCTTCCTCTGAAGAAATTGTTGAAGCAAAGTAATCACGTCTAGAGAAACTTTTGGCCGTTGGTTTTCATCACAAATACTAGCTCAGAAAGCAGATGTATGAACGAGTTCACCGCGACACGTTTGATGGACGCCATGCAAAACCACGCCCCAACGAGTTGCTCAAGTTGTGCCGCTGCTGGCAACGTAGCCCGTCCAAATCACCTACTGACCAGTGCGCGGATCATTTTGAAGGCGGAGTGCTTTCAAAGTCGTCAGCAACCAGCGCACCTTTTGCCGTGGAAGCGCCACACCGCTTCTTTGGCAGCCGAGTAATTTAATCGCGTGGTGCATATGCTTCCCCGATGCGCTCCTCTTAATCGTAATCGCTTCCTTGAAGACTCCTAATGCATGCTAAGTCATTAGAGCTTGCCTATAATATAAATGTGAAGCGAGCGAGGAGCTTTGAACAAGTGCCATTTGCAAACACGCCATATGTAACAGATGCGCAAACGTGAGGCACTTGTGCCAGAGGGTGTATTTCGTGTCACTGGCAAATACGTGAAATTTTAACCTTTCGGACACGCACTTTTCACGTGGCGGGCGCGTGTGGCCGGCGCCTTTTTATGCTCACCGTCGCGCGCTACTCAGCGAGCATAAACATCATGTATTTAATCTGTATTCCCATAAAAACCAATATTTTCTCGTTTGTGTCTTTTTCATTCTTAAAGTATATTTGTGGTAAATATGACAGAAAGCCGTCCTGTAAAAGTGACAGGACCAAGGAGCAGGAGACCAAGTGAAAATTGTTCAAAATAAGTTGTAATGAGGAAAAAGGGACTAGAAAGTGTCCGAAACTTTTAATTCAATAGTATCAGCTACGACGTGCACGAGATGTCATGATTGCTTTTGTATGAATTGTTTTCAAATGAGTTATAACTGTTTTCTTTGAGTTCGAAGTGGAAGTCCACTTAGTTTTTGGTTAGTTTAGGACTATTTCGAGATTGTAGTCCAGATTTTTTCATACGTACGGCATGAGTATGTTACATAGATATGTAACAACAAAAAACATTTTGTAGAAAAACCAAATTCTCGCAAAAATTACTCTTGAAGTCCCTGACACCCCATGTGTGTCAGGCGGCCACAGGGAGCAAATTGGGCCTGACACCCCATGTGTGTCAGGCGGTCCGGAAAGGGTTAAACTCTTCCTTTTAAGGCACAGATCGGGATCGAATTAGTGTGTTATTTTGTTCGCAAATTAAATTCATTAAAAAGATACGAAGAAAGAGGAAAAAGAGCTGCCACACGGATATGTAGAATCACTATCTGGGGCTCTACTTGGAACAGAGCCAAATTTCGAAAAACCCTCGACGAAACTCTCGTGCAATCGAGGACGGTTTTGTAATTACCATTCATCAGGTTGGCAAAGCACAACTTGGCTGACAGGAGATTTTGTATTGTTCAATATGTGCAACAGCGAGCCTGTAAATTGACATTCGAAATTAAAATCGTACCCTCGGTCAGAATCACCAATTGGTAAAAAAATAGGAGAGGTGGTGAAATAATAGTGGGATTTTCTTTGGTATTAACCTGTACATTCTCTACATAAAATTTCTTGATTTGAGAAAAATGGCAAAAGTGTGAGCCATTTTGGTGTCTACGGTTTCTAACTTAGTATGTCTGTACGAGGTCAGCAGACAGCACAGCCAATCAAGTGAGGTCACTCCGCAGGCGATCGCTAGGAGGCATAAGGTGGCAGGTGCGAGGTAGTGATTAAGAGGTCATTTTTGACTAAAGTCCCTCTCCCGGGCAGTCATATCACCATCAGCCCATTGTCAGAGTTGATCATTGGATGGAATGAAACTTTTCAGTAATCTTCGTAAATATATATATATATCTCACTTGTTTGCGTTGTCAGAAGAATTTTTGGTGCATGCTCGCTGGAGTCTATGGTAGGACAGCGTAGGGGGGAAGCTCCCCGGCGGCGCGGACGGGGCGCGTGCTAGTGACGTCAAAATGACGTAGCAGCTGCAGCAGGCTCGAGGGAAGAGCAAACAGTGGTTAGCACCCACTGCCATTTCGTTCGAATAGTGCCAACATAACAACTTGTTCAAATAGGCGAAGCGAGCAAAATTGTTGTCATTATATGTCATTTACAGGCACACCATCGCACTAGACATTGGGTTTTTTTTACCTCTAAAGGAAGACGAGGCTTCACGTGACACACTCGCTAGACAAAGACAAGTTTAAAAGTTGACTAGGCCAAACCGTTCTCTTCTATTCAGTCTATTTAAATGGATAGAAGGATAAAGCATTTGCCATTGATCAATCCCCTTCTGGGATGCGGCACGCATTCTACTTTCATTTGCAAATTCGTAGTAGCGTCAGAATACGATGTGGCCTATACAATAACTTGTGGATGTCAGCCGATGTACAAGTCAGTGTCTTTTAGTCCTCCCAGACAAGTTGTATCAATAACGACGCGGCAGGATAGAAGGCGTCAGATTGGCGCGGGAGACGAGACTTCACGACGTGGATGTATGAAGTCCCGGTAGGATAATACTGCAGACACCCATAGATCCTAAGGCCTAAGCCGCTTAGTGAGTTTACGCGAAACATGGCATATACATTTTGAATTTACCGCGTACAAACTACAACCAATTCCAAATTGCCATGCCCACCGGACCACCTACTAGCACAGGTATATATACCGCCCTCTTCTGGGAGGTATAAAGAGCGCGCTCCGGGCGCAGTGACAGTCTTCCGCTTCGGTGTCACCTTTAGTTAATTTTATTTATCTCTCTCCTCTCTATTCTCTTTCTGGGGCTCCGCCTCTCTCATCAAGCGACTACGGTCGCACACCAACTACCCTAATTCAACTCAACTTCTACAACAACGCCACGACGAACCTATGCCGGTCGGAACTCCCACCTCATCAAGGTAACAAGACAACTTACACTAGAACACATAACCTAAGACACCAACAATACAAGATGCAATAACAACTTCTGCTCTCTCCTTCTCTTCTCCGTTGTATGTTTTGTTCATTGTTGTGATGAAATAAATTACAATTTTTTGTTGAATATTTTGTGTACTACCACTGAATCAAAACACAAAATTTGATCCCGGACCGCTCGCCGTGGTAAGGGCGCACTTGCCACCACATCACTTCCGCCCAATTCCTATTTACTGCTACTTAATACACAGTGAAGTAAGAGCGC